GTAACATATTTGAGACGACTAAAGTCACATCCATACCTAGATCAGGGTGAAAGCAAGGTCCCAACTCAGCAACAAACTCGACTATTGTAGGCTTCCGTAGTTGCTACTTTTACGGTTGTCGTCAAAGGCCGTAGGTGGCATTAAGGTTGCCTCGATTGGTGTCGTTGTGGACTGAGTTAACCTAAGCACATAATCGAATTTTTTTAGTGCAAGACACTTTTCTTTGTGACACTTAAATATAAAAAATAGGGTGTTGGTGTTGGAGAAAATAATATTCTTTACCGTCATAAGATCGTTCATGTTGGATCATCAAGAACTNATTTGGGTCAGACATGATTATCGCAATGAACTAGTCCTGCGATTTTAGTCTTCCAGATCAACATGTTGTTCCTTCGTTTCTCTCTGAAGATGTGAGTCAGAATAGAATAAACAAAACATGTGATCCGGGGGACCATAATCGTATATTTATACTGATTGCCCATTGACCTAATTCGGCTCATCATGGAATTAGGAACATGCCCGGTCTCTACACATATAAGCTCATACTTTAATTAGATGCTTTAAAGCCCAAAATACCGAAACCTTATTAGATCACTTTAAACGGGCTTAACCAAAATTGATAATCTTTAATTTAATACACAATATTTCACATATAAGTCCACATGTTTGATTAAAAATCCTTACAGTTGGTGCCTACATTGTGTTAATAGCTTCGGCATCTAGTTTGTTGACTAGTTGTAGTGCCATTTTGTGAATGGTGGCAACTATTGTTGCCTCGATGTCTATTGCCGAGGTTGCAACTTTGCTTGACAGTGTCATTGAAAGCAGTAATGGCCTCGACGATCGCCACTGGATATAGAGATCCCACCAATTTTTATTGAAGAGTTCGTGACACTTTTTTTTCAACTTATGTCGAAGAAAATTATTTTTAGATTTGCTTCAATCGCCCCAACGAGAAAAAGTTTTCAGATGACCTTTTCTTTTGGCCTTTTCATCATATGTTTCTTGATCGTGATTATAGAACAAATTCTTATAGATGATGCCAATCTGTTGATCTAAAAAATATGTACGACTCTTGATGCTAATAGATCCCTTGTAACCTGCATGTCCGTTGTATGATACCTACACACTTCGATACAAACCGTTATGAACGAAGGTCTCGAAGCCATGGAAAAAGAGGTTGACGAATGTTGGCACTCCAACTATCAAATCAATTGTGTGGTATAAGTTCAACGAGTATTTAGGTGGGGTTGATGACCATTGACACTCCGAATAGGTATAAGTTATGTGGGGTAGAGATCGAATGTACAACGTCGTGGCTAGAATTTAGAGTTACATACTTTTCAGAGAGAAAGAGTCCTATATGTATAGTGATACATTAAATGGAAAAATTCATATCTAAGAGTTTAACTATGACTAATTTCAAAATTAATTAAAAAATTATTCTATTAATTAAATATATTAAGGTCACAAATCCATACAATTTGGTCACAAATTATAAAATTAATTGGTTACTAATTATTTCTCGTTCACAAATTATTTCTTGGTCACAAATAATTTTTTTTATAGGTCTCAATTTATTCATCGATCACAAAATCAAAACTTTTATACGTGACAACTCATTTATTGGTCACAAATAACAAATTTTATAGGTCATATCTTACTTAACGATCACAAATAATTATATTAATTGGTCACAATTATAAATATGGTCAGGATTACACATTCTTTAAGGTCAATTACAAATTAACAATTTATTGATCACAACATCTAAATAATTAGTCACAAACATTCTTTCCTCCTCCACCCCACCCAACACCTAAATAATTAATCAATTCTTTCCTCCTCCATCCCCATCAACCCGCCACGAATACATAGCATCTATTTTTGAGAAAATCAAACTTAGGAAAAAAAATAATAACAGATCTGGTGGTACCAAGGCAGCTATGCGATGTCGATTGCGCCATCATTGCTGCTACGCTGCTCGGCACAATGCTCTTGCACTGCTACGAGCCCGTGCTTGTGCCGGATTGTGATGATGGTTTCTCCATCGCAAACGATGTCGACGAAAAGGCCTGAGGTGTTGTAGCCCCAGGGGGAGTAAAGAAAAAAGTGAGATATTAGAGAGAGAGATAGAGGGAGTGTAATTTAGAGATAGAGTGAGATATTAGGGTTTGGGAGGAATTTGTCTATTTAATATTTAAATATAAAATATTTGATTTGTGAATAATGAAACTTTCCCCCTTTTTTGGAATATTGATCTTAAAAAATAGACGGTGTAATTTTCACTAAATTAGATTACCTACTCAAGATGGGCTACAAATATTATTTGGTCCATGATATAGTCTTATGACATCCATGAAAGGTTGACATGGTCATGACTGATCCAATTCGATTGACATCACAAATGCCTTGTACAGGTCCAGTCATATAATGCGGAGCATGTCTTGGCACATGTACGTCCCCGTAAATAGTAGCTCGACTTCATAAATTTAAAGAAGCCATAATAAAGAGAGGTGAAAATATTTTTTTTTTTTTTGACAATGTTAGATCAAAGTGGAAGAAAAATCATTTTGTAGTAAACTATATTTATCGAAGAACATATCATAAACAATATAAAAGAGGCAGTTTGAAATGTACTGTTCATGTCAGATGTTGTAAAAATGGATAGTCAACCATAACGACGCCGTATTTCCCAATTATATTTTCTTCTTCTTGCTTTCCCCTTTTATCTCCTACTGCACTCTTTGCAAATCTTCAACCACGATATTTCCTACTTTGTCGTTCTTTGCAAATTTACAACCTACTTGTGTGACATTTCCTACTTTGTCGGCTTCAGAAGCCTGTGTTTCACTTTTGCGATCGTAAAAATTGTTGCTTGGCCTGTGTTTTACTATGTCAAAAGTAGGAGTGTCAAAGCAACTCTCAAGGTTTGTCTATTTTCTTTCTTTCAGTTTGAGTGTTGGGTGTACGATATTTTCAGTGTTATATTTTTTTCCATATTCCCTCATAAATTACTGTTGATATACTTCAAATTAAGCCGAAGAAAATGAAATAGAGAAGTGTTTCTAGAACCCTAACCTTCCTTAACTTCCCTTTTCTTCAGATCAATCACAAAAGACTTCTCGTTAAATCCAATTTTTTGCCAATTACGAAAAATACAATACATAATTACAACAATTTCATAAATATCAACACAAATAATCGAATAATTATTAGGAAAACAGGTAAGTTTTATGAATAAAAAGAAATAGCTTATGTATTGCCCGAGCAAAGGCACGCTCATGCCTTCGCTACCATGCTCGTTCTACGTGCACGGAGGCACTTGCGTGTCTCAAAATAGTGATTGAAAAAAGGTATTTTAATGCAAATTGTTTTTCAATAGTTTTCAATTTTTTGCTGTGAAGGTGTTTTCTATTACCATCAATCTATTGCCATTCTTAAACTCAATTTAACTACGTATTTTTGGATTTTTGTTAATTTAATTGGTGATTGTTGAAATTGAATTTTACCGACCTGTGTGACTTGTTTACTTTGGATCTGATTTCTCAGCATGGAGTTTCACTTTCTTCTTATCTTTGCTTCATCTCTTTCACAGTCAAAATCAAATCAGGTACTTCTTCTCTTAGTTTGATATGAAATTTAATTTTACGAGAAAATAATAATTCTTGAAACGAAGAAATTGAGTTCAATTTTGATCCATCAACTTGGGTTTGTTCTGTTTCTCTAAATGTAGTTTATTTAGTCCGTAGTGCTGAGTATTTTTTTGTGGTATTCGTTCTTCAAATAATAATTAATTGAGGATTTGGAGTGAAGACAAGAAATAAAGAAAAATGTTGAATATTTATTCAATAGAAATTTTGGTAGATCCTTTTATATGAATTTTCGGGTGTTTTCATAAGATCACTCCTTTCGTTTTGATTATTTAATTAAGCTTAGGTTTGGCATCTATTTATTTCCTAGGATTTCATCAAATAGTGGAAGTTTGGTTTTCAGATTGGTTCTTGAATTTCAATGGTTGCTCGTGTATTTTGTGGTATTTTGTAGTATTAAGCTTAGGTTGGGGGTTTATTAGGAATGGATGCTGCTGATGTTAGAAGTTCTGAGCTAAAAAATATTGGCTCCGAGTGATTTATGCTAAATCAAAAGAATCTTCGTATGCACGATGAAGAGAATTATATACTCAGGCACGAGAATTGTGTAACATTCGTCGACAACAACTGTAGAGATATAAAATATTGATCATATCATTTAAATAGCAGCGAGGATGTGAGAGTAGTTCAACTTCTGATTTTCTGGCTTCTGAAATTACTAGGAATGATGAGAACAGTACTTCTAAGGATTCTTCTTCACCCCCTTCAATGGGTTGGTTAAAGCAGAAACACGAGAAGCCACATCGTGCCAAGTGTGACATTTCTGAAGAAGTTTAGAAACACCATTTGGATAGCAAAAAATTAGAGAAGCGAGGGTGATCTATGTCAGGTACTAATTATTCATATATTTTTCTTTTGTTATTTATATTAGTAACGTGTTTGCTTGTGCCTTATATGATCATATATTTCTATTGGATTAACATAATTCCTTGAATTTTCGTATTGTGTACAAGTTGAGATGATGAAAGAAAGATTTTCAAAATTACTCATTCGAGAAGATACATCTGGTTGTGGAAATGGGGTTTGTACTGCTGTGACTATATCAATGCTATTACTAATCTTTGTAGTATATTACTTAAAACACTAAATTAATATCGATTAATTGATTGTACTATTTATTAACTTAGTTGATTAAGGGAAAAACAAATTTAATGAGGAATTTTTTCCTTAGAGTTGAAGGAAGTTACTTCATATTTTTTAAGGGTAAATAAATGTCATGTGGTCAGTTATTCAGTCGGTATTTGTTATATGGATTAGATTGGATACACTTTATGTTTCTGACATCGATCATCAGGTAAAGAGAATATATTGTGTGAAGCCTGTATTATTTTAGAGTATGGAGGCACCATGCTTAGATGCCTCCGTCCAAGTGGATGGAGGCACCATGCCTCCATCCAAGTAAAGGAGCCTCCATCCACTTGGATGGTGCCTTCATCCAAGTATCCACTCCATCCAAGTGGATGGAGGCATGGTGCCAATACCTCCGTCCAAGTGGATGGAGACACCATGCCTAGACACCAAGTGGATGGTGCCTCCATTCAAGTAATGGATTTGGAGGCACCATGCCTCCATCCAAGTAATGGAGGCATGGTTTGCCTCCATCCAAGTGGATGGATGCCTCCATTACTTGGATGGAGGCACGGCGATGTCTCCGGAGGTGTCCCCGCCCGCGCACGTGATTTTATTTTTTTTACCAATAACATTTTTTCATTTTGTTTTGATGTAGGTTCCTTTCGTGATTATATCTTTGAAACTATGCTATGAAATTTAGCTCATGGTTAATATGTTTTGATCATAAGAAAAAAAATGAGGCAAACAGATAAATCTTTGATGTTGATGTTGTTGATTATTTTATTAGAGTATTCACTTTGCCTTCATCTATCCAATTCTATACTTCTGTTTGTACCAAAATGCATTTATATATCTTGTTATTAATTATCAAATTAAAATTTTTTGTACTACATTCGTTATAGTACATATCATGCAAACTATTTAGTCCCGAACTAAACTCAAAGACGTGCATTGCACGTGCCTCCAGTAGTATTAGTTTAAATGTCTTGCATCAAACTGGTATTTTATCATACACCCTTTTTTCTCGTGGAAATACCAGCGCGTTTCTACAAGCACAATTTTACGGACCAGCTGCTCTTCAGTCAGTCATTTTATCAAATACTCTTTCCTCAATATGAATTTTCTACCTTCCGTCGATTTTTCTCCCCAATAATGTTTTGCTCAATGATTTGATTCTACAAAAGATGAGAAGAAGATTTACTGAGATATCTTCCCTTTTTCTTGCAGTTCGTAACTGTGTCAAATTTGAGCACACAGCATCATATATCAATCAGCATATACAATTCCCGTCTCAAAATGCCACTACAATTACGAGTACCCATCTTTTCAAAGCCCCCCATTTGATGCTTTCTGTCAGTAATTTTCCCATTACCAGGCCCTTCTCAACCAACAACGATCACGAATCTTCTAGTGACACAGAATATGAATTTGAGCGTCAGGCCAATGGTGAAAAGCTGGGAGACTGTAAAGGAATAACAGAACCGGATTCTTTTGGTGATTTAGAAACTATTATGGAAATTTTACGAGCAGGTAGTGTTCAAGAGAAGAGCAAAAACCTCGAAAAATGTTGTGTGATAGTTACCCCGGCGATGGCGTCTAACGTTCTTTCTCGGGTTCGAAATGATTGGGAAACTGCGTTTACCTTCTTTTTGTGGGCTGGAAAACAGCCCGAATATACCCATTCGGTTAGGGAGTATCATTCAATGATCTCCATTCTTGGGAAGTTTAGGAAGTTTGATACTGCTTCAGCTTTGATCAATGACATGAGAGCTGCATCTTTACTAACTCCACAGACCCTTTTGATAATGATCAGAAAATATGCAGCTGTGCATGATGTAGGCAAGGCAATCAGTACTTTCTATGCGCTTAGACGGTTTAAGTTTGAAATTGGAATGGAGGAATTCCAAAGTTTGCTTTCTGCTCTCTGTCGGTACAAGAATGTGAAGGATGCTGAGCATTTGCTCTTCTGTAACAAAAGTTCTTTCCCTTTGAATACCAAGAGCTTCAATATTATACTTAATGGATGGTGCAATGTGGTTGGTGACTTGCGCGAGGGTAAAAGAATTTGGATGGAGATGGAAAAGAGAGGGATTATGTGCGATGTTTACTCTTATTCTAGTATCATGTCTTGCTATTCGAAAGCTGGTAATCTAAATGCGGTTCTCAGGCATTTCGACAAGATGAAGGCTCTAAAAATTGAACCGGATAGGAAAGTCTACAATGCAGTGATTCATGCTCTTGCAAAAGGTAGGCTAGTGAAAGAAGCTCGGAGCCTCATGAAAACAATGGAAGAGAAGGGTATCAATTCCGACACCATCACTTATAACTCGCTCATCAAGCCTCTTTGTAAGGCACGGCTGTGTGATGAAGCCAAAGAAGTTTTTGATGAGATGATAGAGAGAGGCCTTTCCCCGAGTACTCGAACTTACCATGCTTTTTTTCGGATTTTAAGGACTGGGGAAGAAGTTTTTCAGCTCCTCGAGAGGATGCATATGGATTGCCATCCGAGTCATGATACATATATAATGTTGATCAGGAAATTTTGTCGTTGGCGCCAGCTAGATAATGTTTTCAAGCTGTGGACTGAGATGAGCAAGAATGGACTTGAACCAGATCGAAGCTCGTACATTGTGCTCATACATGGGCTCTTTTTGAATGGAAAATTGGAGGAGGCGTATAAATATTATATAGAAATGAAGGAAAAGCATTTGTTGACAGAACCAAAAATAGATGAGATGCTTCAGGCATGGTTGCAAGGGAAGGCTGATGCAGGGCACCATGTGACTGAGTCGACGCACAGTCAATCAAATTGTAGTGAGTTTGGACCAAATGCCAAAGTCAAGTCCAAGACAAATGATAGGGACCTTGACTTCCGTCGACAACCGGAGACGAAAAGCATTACCAGAGAGAGAGGCTTTTCTTTTTGTGACAATTAAGTAGTGATCATGACTCTCCCATATACTGTTCTTAAGCAGCAATCCATTTGATCAACACCAAGGATTATATGCAGGTGCATTACATCTTGTACTATGTTTGGTTTATAACTAAACCTCCTTAATATAACCTATGATGTCCGCTTTTTATTGTTTGATGGTATTTATTCATTTTAGATTTGTTACATAATATTTTTGCTAATTTTGATCCCATAAACTGCAAAGGCTGTTTATATTTTGATTTCTAACCACACTTATTCTAACAACTTGACCCAAATAAATGTTTGGCCAAGTATAGGAATGCATTTCAATTCTGTTGGACCAGGGAAGCCTTTTACAATGCGTTTCATGTATATTGGTTTATCTTTTAGTATCCAATAAGCATACACTTGACCTGGTATCTCTAAGCTTGAATGTAAACGACACGCCATAAGTTGTAGGTTATAGTTTAAGGGTTATTTCTTTCTCATCAAATCTTCAAATGATTGTTAGGCTCTTTCGTCCATAATTCTTCTTCTCATAGTATTGTAGTCCTGTGATCCTGTCATAGTTTCAAATGAGTTGCATGGAGATACTTTGGCATTTCTAAAGAGGAGTAGGCCATAGTGGAATATACCCAATTACTTTGTCCTCACTCAAAATGTCCATTTATATCATCAAAACCTTGCATTAACAACGGAATGGCAGGAAGAGACATTTGGATGTTTGGAGTCAAGTGGAAGTTCTTTTTAAGGTACATGTGCTTGAAAATGGAACTGAAAAGGTGAAGAAGTACTTAAGTGGAAACATTACAAGTAATCCTACGGGCATCATCACTTGGATGGGGGTACAGAAATCGTAGTGTCTTTGAAGGCCCTGAAAGTTGGAAAGTGAGATCCTGTTGATTTTGAGAAGATCTTATAGCTAGTTTAGACACATATTGATCTCCTACTCGTCATCTTCCTAAACTTCGGGGACTAATCCGCAAATTTGTATGAATTGTTATACAGTATGCCTGATAATTTCTCTGATTTCTTCATAACCTTTTAATGAAATTTGTACAACCGCTATTAATTTCTCGTGTACTACAAATTCCTTGCTTATACATGTCCTCATATGTACAAGTTCTATTTATTAGCATGTGCTCAATGTGTTGTTTATATGTTCCCTGTCCTAACCCAAGCTTCTTAGGTGGTGAATTCTTAGGAGTCCAGCCTTTTTTTATGCAAAAACCACGTTGTTAAAATAGCTTGCCTTTCCTGCTTTCAAGGCTTTCCTTGGCAAATTATGTTCCCTGTCCTAACCCAAGCTTCTTAGGTGGTGAATTCTTAGGAGTCCAGCCTTTTTTTATGCAAAAACCACGTTGTTAAAATAGCTTGCCTTTCCTGCTCTCAAGGCTTTCCTTGGCAAAGGGGGGAAGGGAGGTTTTTTAGATGCTTTTTGATTGAGTCAGATGTTGCATTGCTGATTCAAGAACAGTTTCCCTTTCTTGAATCATCACATCTTCTTATATTTTCAATTTTATTTAAGAGACCAACAGACCAACTTGGGATTGTTTCACTACTAGTGAAGCTTCTTATGAATGGAGTGCGCAGAGATAAAACTTATCAGTATATTGATAAATCACACTACTTGGAAACAAGCAAGAAAAGGGGAAAGGTAGTGCGAACATTTTAATTGAGTATAAGATTTTTTGATTTCCGTCGAGAACTTTTCTCTTTATTTGACCTTCTACTTCAGATTCTTTTGTAGGACTAGCTTGGTTTGCTCATATTGCTTTCGTTATTATCTTGTTATTCATACGTCACATTTTATTTTCTGGTTTTTTAAATTGTTTCTTTTATATCAACCCATGTATATATTGTGTGTTTTTCTTGTTTTGCTAGATATAGTCATGAATAGATAAACAAAAGGGCACTGGGTGATGATTAAAGAAATTTTATAGGAGAAAAAGACAAGAAACTTACTTACCCCTCTTGATTTTGGCAATTGCGAATCCAAACATGGGCCATGTAAACTGCACACTTCTTTCAAGAACGAAAATATTTTGAGTATCATTTCAACATTGTTTATGATACTATTAATCGTAAAAGTACCGACGGAATTGTTTTTGATAATGGCAGCTTAATATTGTCAAAATGTTAATTGGGATGAGTGATTAAAGTTCTTGATCCTATTCCATTTCAAAAATGGAAATTTCAACACAATTGGGGATTTTTTTGGAAGTTGGGTACAATTGCCACGGAGTCCATGATAGAACAGAAGACTGCATATGAGGAGTAGGTCCAATATGATGAAATGATCCACTTACATTTCGAATTCTATGTCAAATGTGTTACAACATAAATATTAGAACATGGACGCTGCGGCTCAATCTATGATAAGCTTGATGTATGGTATGGACACCAATGTCAGCAGGCTCGAAAGGCTACCATTAAATCTATCATGAACATGTGCATGGAATCAGGGACGCCTCTGAGGCATCATATGCTTGCTTTGATAGTTCAGTTTAACGTAGCTCAGGATTCAGGATTTCAAATCAAATTAGAGGAGAAGTTGACATGGCTTTAGAGACTATTTCAAAGATGTTTTCTTAATTCTAGGGTATTATAACATGAACAAGCTTAAAATGTCCGAGCTGATGAAGGAGCTCCAAAATGTTAAGGCTGTTCTAAAGATCAAGAATATTAATGTCGTTGCTCTTTCTTTTGATGGACCATCCTCTTCCAAGCAGAAAGATAAAGGATGCAAGAAGAGGAAAAAGTCCAACAAGAAGGGCACACAACAAGAAGCCAAGAAAGTAAAGATGGATGGAAAGTCCAAGGACAATGTTTTCATTATTGACTGAAGGGTTTAGTGGTTGATCCTACTGATACCTAGATAGTATATTTTAGAATCACTTATCATATTTGCAATTCATTGAGGGCTCATCGTAACCTAGAAGTTTAGTGAAGGAGAGTCCAGGAAGGTCTTTTCGTAATGGATAATGCTCGAAACCATATCTGTTGATATGCCAGTTTGAACCTTGAAAAGGTTAAGACAACACAACCTAAAAATGCACCCCAAGTCTTTCTTTGGGGCCAAAGAAAGGAAATGGCTAAGCGGAGGTTTGGATTCTCTCGCAGATTACGTCACGACGCACGGCAAGATAGGGCTTGCATCCTAGAGCGTTCACTGCCGAATGGGCTGGCGAAGCGCGGTTGCAGCGTCAATGGGCCTAGGAGAACTGAGTGCGGTACGTGCCGGGAGTCGACAAGATTTGTTTCAGGCTTGGCATTTTGAATACTGTTGAATGGCTGTGATTCTGGGGCTCAAATGAAGAAAGAAGAAAAGAGGTTGCACTAGAGAGTTCGTGTTTGCTAGAGCCATTGGATCTGTTTTTCTGTTTTTCAACATAACAAATATTTACATTTGAGAAATTATTATTTTGTTCCAAATGCTAAATAAAGTTTAAATTGAATAATACTATTATTTGTTGTGGACAATTGATGAATAATTTTATGTTTTAAATTGTGTCGTTGGCTCTATTGATAATGTCACCCCCTTCAAATAAACACATGAAATTATCTCCCACTAATAAATCTTATTTGTGCCACCTTGACTTGGATATATTAACTTTAATGGAAACCAAAGATTAGTTAAAGGGCATAGGGTCAAGGAAGTCTTGTAGTTAGTGCACCGATGTATGTGGACCAATTGATGTCCAGACTAGAGGAGTGTATAACTACTTTAGTACTTTCACTAATAATTAATTCAATGAATTCAAGGTAAGTAGAAAAGAAATTAGGTAAGGGCATTAAACACTCCGATCAGATCAAGATAGAAATCATCTATCCCATGACTTTAGAACATATTTATTAGAGAATGAGATTATATTCATACTGAGTACACAATATATACCCCAATAGAATGGTGTATTAGAAAGGAGAAATACAACCTTGTGGGACATGGTCAAATCTACGTTGGGCTTTCTGACTCTGACTTCCTTTTGGGGATATGCTCTACAGACTACAATATACTTATTGATATGGTTCCACCTAAGTATATCCCTAAAATACCACTAGAATTGAAGGTTGGGCATAAGCCTAGTCTAAGACATATTAGATATGAGGATGTCTGGTACACATGCTGAGGGGAAAGATGTATAAGATGGATTTGAGATCAAAATGCATCTTTGTGGGATATCTTAGAAGAACAAGAGGATATTACTTCTATAGCCCTCAAGAAAAAATGTATTTGCAAGTACAAATACAAGATTCTTAGAGGACATATATATAGAAAAATGTGAATTCAAGAGTAAGGTTCTCTTGGATGAAATGAGGAAAAATGTTCCCAACTCGTCTAAAGAGATCCACACTAAAACTGCTCAAGAGGAATTCATGCCTCATTCGCCGATGATAGTATCAGTAGGAGATAAGTAGAAGTCTCGCATGCCATATTCACTACCTTGTCGATTACGAGGAGACCTTCTCACATAGGTGTTGAGCATTTGGCTGCTGTAAGCATACACTTAAGTATCTTTACTTATCTAGAGATTATATGCTGGTTTATTCCGTTCTAGATTTTGTCCTCACGGGTTATACTAGTTTTGATTTTTCAGATGATAGGGACTCCTGCAAATCCATATCATGATTAATGTTCACGGTAGGTGGCCGTGTCATTATTTGGAAGAGTATCAAATAATAGAGGATATCGATTAGCTCTTTTCTTACTATGACCCCAAGTGGGTACGGTGACAAGACTTTGATGCGAGGTCATAATAATATAACTTTTGATGAATAGAAGTTATCGATTGAGTACTAAATATTTAATCATATATTTTCTTTGAAAAATATCTAAAAAACATAAAAGAATAGGGAATTTGCAGATTTCAAATATTTTCTAAAATCAGACAAATAACACTTTAGTTTACAAATATAATCTTTAGGTAAGAAATATAAAGGTAAGTTGATGCAATGGAAAAAAAAAAAAAAAANACATCTTCTTATGACATGCATTACATGCTCTAGAAAAAAAAAAAAAAA